TTTTTTTTTTTTGGAGAGATTTTCACTGTTGGGCGCGTGCGCTCGCCAGACAGACAGAGAGAGACATAGAGACAGAAAGCGAGAAATCACCCCCCAGGGGAGATGGTCACGCCGCAATCCCTTCTCCTCCATTCTCCTCTCGGGATCTTGGGCGCACACGCACATGCGCCCGGCGTGAGTTTTAAGCCACCGGGTCCGGGACACGAACCACGGTCGACTACGTGGGAGTCCAGCGACATAGCCATTACGCTAACTGCTGGTTCCCAGAAATATAAGACTTTCAAATTTCCAAAAGTCTCTACAAAACCAAAACCCCCCAAAACAAAACTACAGCTGAGTAGTAGGTACACAGATATTTACTTTTTTAAAAAAGTTTTTTTAACGTTTTTGCTATAGGGTACACATACGAGAGACAGAGAGAAAGTGAATCACTTCCCGGGAGGGATGGCCATGATGCAGTTCTTTCTCCAGTACCCTCTAAGAATTCGGGGCATACACACACATACCCTCAATGTGATTTTCAAGCTACGGGGTCCAGGACTCAAACCGCATAGCCAGCCATGCGGAATCCAGCACGTTAATCTCCATAGCACCTTCTGGCCCCTATTTAATGCTGTTTTTTCATACCTTACATGTGTTATTATTTTGTACCTATGTAATGAAATAAGTGGTCTCAAATATCTTACTATATCATACTTTGCTTTTAAGGTTTCTGCCTCTGAGTGCACTTTGCCTATGTAAAGTAAAATAAGTAATTTTAAAATTTCTGTGACAAAGATACATATGTTGAATATAGTAATAATTCAGCTCCTGCCTTGAGATAAAATTTGTTTGCTCAGAGAAAAGTAACTCAAAATTAACCTAATAAGAACTCCCTTTTCATGCTTACATTCTAGGGTTCCCCATAGACTGGTTCTTTCTTTTTTAAAGAATTATTTAACTTGGGGACCAGCAGGTGGAGTGGTGGATAAGGTGCTGGACACTCCCACATGGCCGACCGCAGTTTGAGTACCGGGCCTGGTGGCTTGCCTTCTCTCTCTCATGTGTGTGTATCTCTGGTAAAATTTAAAAAAATAATAAATGAATAAGTAAAATTAAATAATTTAAAAAAGAATTATTTAACTTTATTTATTCCAATTTGAACAGAGAGATAGAAAGAAAGTGAGAAAGCAAACTGCAAGGTCCAGGACTTGAACCACTGTCAGCCATGTGGGAGTCTACTGCCCTCAACCACCATGCCACCTGCTGGCTCCTCCTTTTTTTTTTTTTGAAGAGCTATTTAACTTTCTATCTATTTATCTATTTATTTATTTATATCTCATGGGGAGGGAGGGAGAGAGAGAGAGAGAGAGAGAAAGAGAGAGAGAGAGAGAGAGAGAGAGAGGAAGCGAGAAAGCAAGATGCCAGGTCCAGGACTCAAACTGCAGACAGCCTGTGGGAGTTCGGCCCCCTTAAGCACCATGCCACCTCTGCTGCCTTGGTTCTTCATGTTTAATGTGCCATAAGGTGGTGTACTTACCTAAGAAAGGGAGAGAGTGAGACAAAGTGAGATAGCACTCCCTAGGGTGAATGACTATACTGCAATCACTTTTCCTCTACTCTTCTCTCAGGATTCAGGGTACACATGCACATGTGCCTAGTGTGTTTTTCAAACTGGTGGGTCTGGGACTCAAACCACACAGCCATGTGGGATCCAGCCGCCTTAACAACCACACTATCTAGCTGGCCTTGGAAGTACTCTCTTAAAAGCACACTTATGCTTTCTTAGTCACTTGTTACATTACAACCCCAGTATAGAAGTTAACTTAGAGTGAACTTTTAGTAATTTTTGCCAGACAAATCAAAATAAACAATTACCTAAATATTTTGTTGTTACTAAAATATTTTTTTTCTAGGCTGTTCTCAAGCAGCTGCCTGCCACTAAAACATTTCCATCCAGAACTGGAGGCAAATGGTAAATTCTGATGCCCATTCTTGATATATCTGAAGACTACAGGTCATTTTTGCATACATAATTGTCTCTTGCCATGTCTTGCGGTTAATTATGAGCTAGGAACAGAAAGCTGATAGAGCTGAAGGATGAAAGAATGGCTAATCAGAGGCACACTGTAGAGCTTGCATACTTAAAACTGCTATCTGGGTTGGCCCGATGGCATGGTAGTTAAATGTAGGGTATTGGGGCTGCATCCCATATGGCTAACTGCAGTCTGAATGGCAGCCCTGGTGGTTTGAAAAACATGCTGGGCACATGTGTGTATGCCCCAAATCCTGACAAGTGAGAAAATGGAGGGAAACAATTGTGACAAGGTATGTCCCACTGGGGGTGCTTCCTTTTTCCCTCCCTTTCACTCTATGGTGAGCACTTGTGTGCTCTGGCAATTAAAGAAAAAGAAATTTAAAAAATTTTATCTACCTAGTCATGTTTTTTCACCACCACATAAACAGATAACCACTAGCATAGAGAATGTAGGTGGCTTACAAAGGGCTTGGTCAAGATTTAGGAGAGGAAAAGGAGTTTAGCGCTTGTAGAGTCACTGTGCCCAGATATGTAGAGTGGTTCTGAACAGAGGCACTACTGACATTTCCAGTGGGCCAATTATTGTTCAGGGACTGCCCAGCGCTAAACAGTGCTCACTGATTCTGCTACTAAATGCCAGTAGCTTGAGGGAGAGGGGGATAAACAAAAATCAGCCTCACTGATCCCTAAATTATAAAGGGTGTGCAGAATACAGGAAGGATTGGTAAAGACTACTGGCCAAGACTGAAAAGACAAACTTTTGATGCAATTAATAGGACCACAGAGTTCTAGAAGATACTGTATATACAGTAATTGAAAAGGTAGATTAAATGTCTAGAACAGTGCTAGGCATAGAGGTCTTTAAAAAACAATTTTCTGGGACCAGCAACTGATGTAATGGCTATGTCGCTGGGCTCCCGAGTAGTCAATTGCAGTTCAAGTCCCAGACTCGGTGGCTTAAACTCACACCGGGCGTGTGTGCATGTGTGCCCAAGATCCCGGGAGGAGAATGGAGGAGAAGGGATTGAGGTATGGCCATCCCCCTGGAGGGGGATTTTCCACTTTCTGTCTCTCTGTCTTTCTGGTGAGCGCAAATGCCCTACAGCAAAAACCTCTCCCCAAAAAAAGAAATTTTCTGAGACCAGCAAATACAGTAAAATGGTTACATCGCTAGCCTCCCACATGGCTGACTACAGTTTGAGTCCTGGACCTGGCAGCTTGAAACTCACACTGGGCGTATGTCTGCGTGCCCAAAGAATCCTGAGAGGAGAATGGAAAAGAGACTGCAGCATGGTCACCTCCCCTGGAGCATGATTTCTCGTTTTCTGTCTCTCTGGTGAGCGCATGTGCCCTATAGCAAAAATATATCTAAAATAAACAAACAAAACAAAAGATCAATTTTCTAAATGCCAGCTATGCTCAAACCAATGAACTTTTCTATTACACTGTTGATGATATTCTGCTTGAATACCTCTAGCATTAAAGAGAAATAAACACAAGCTTTGGAGCCAGAGAGACTGAGGTCTGAATCCCAGTTAATTAGCTATGTAGGCACTTAATTTGAATTGTTTCCTCATTTATAAAAATAAAGAAATACTATCTAGGAGGGTATGATCAGAATGAAAACTAATAGGGCCAGGCAGGTGGTGTGGTGGTTGGGGTGGCTAGATCCCACATGGCCAACTGTGGTTGAGTCCCTGAATTAAAACTGATCCATATAAAGCATCAGTCAAGTACTAGATGCTTAACAAATAGAAGTCATGAGTACTCTCACTTCGGTAATGAAACTTACTCTCTCCAAAGGAAACACGTCCTGTTGTGAGAAAATTCAAGTTACCTGAAAACTCTTTCATTAAACCAAAATCTAATCAGATTTTCCTATGACCTCTGCTATTTAGACCAGTATATTCCTTTTTTCCCCCCTTGCTTTGAGAAAACTAAGAACTGCATCCCATTTCCCCCCCCCCAGATAATAGAGTTTGAGATATATCTACTCTCCTGATGGCCTTCCTTTGGACCTGTGATTTTCCTTTCAAAACTGAGCATTGAATGCAATGCCCTGATCCTGTCACCAATATTCAGAATCTCAATTAATGGACTGCAGAATTTTTTTTTTTTTTGGAGAGATTTTCACTGTAGGGCGCGTGCGCTTGCCAGACAGACAGAGAGAGACATAGAGACAGAAAGCGAGAAATCACCCCCCAGGGGGGATGGTCACGCCGTAATCCTTTCTCCTCCATTCTCCTTTCGGGATCTTGGGCATGCACGCACACGCGCCCGGCGTGAGTTTTAAGCCCTGGGTCCGGTACTCAAACCGCAGTCGACTACGTGGGAGTCCAGCGACATAGCCATTACGCTAACTGCTGGTTCCCTGTACTGCAGAATTTTAAAGTAAAAACAGACTCACCTTTTTTTTAAACTGCCAATGGGCACATGTGCTTGTAAGGGACAGAGAAAGGGAGAGGAGAGAAAGAGAAAGCACTCCCAATAGGTCACGGTAATGAACAGTCCCGTCTCCATTTCTCCACCCTGTAGAGATCTGGGGCACACACACTCCGGCATGTTTTTAAAGGCACCAGTGCTGGGATTTGAATTGGTGGTTGGCTGTGAAAGATCCAGTTCCTCCAACCATAGACTCTGAGGCTAGCTGTTTTTCCCCCCTAAACAATACAGAGTTTGTAGAGAGTGAGTGGATGAACTCTGTCTTCAGTTTTTTCCTTTGTTTGAAGAGATGTTTAGAACAAAATTTTTGAATTCTTAGGTTTTAGGAATGTCTGAAAGCATAGAAAAAGGAATGATTACCTTGTGAATAACATCTACTCTGTGTTGCCAGGCTAGCATATTAGGTAGAAGTAAAGCTTGTGGTTCATAAATGGGTATTTTGGTAGAGAATGGAAAATGCAAAGATATATTTAGCCTGATCAATAATCTGTTAGCAAATCCCATTTAGAAATTACCCAAGAACTCTCTGCAAAAACATCACCTGCATATCCAGTCCACAAGACACCAGGCTCAGAGGCCTCTGAGGCCGAAAAGCTACAGAGGAACAGATATTGGAATGTCTCTTCAGAGATCTGCTAACTTTCTTATTCTCCAAGTCTAGAATTTTGATTGTCCCAGAGTCATCAGCAGAAGCCAGCAGGTTTTCAGTTTCATTCAATGAAAGACAATTGATTTCTTCTTCATTCACATGAAAATGGTCCAGCGAACCTTTGAGGGACCTGATGTCCAGTACGCTAATGGATTCTCCATGTGAGGCATAGAGCTTGGTGGGGCAGGAGGGAGAAAATAAGACACTGGTAACATCATCGGCCCCTTGGAACTGCATGTGTCCTAATGGAATCCCGTCTTCACTCCAAGCCATGAGATCTCCACCCTCTGCTCCAGAAGCCACTAGCCCTTCTTTACTTGCATTCAGGCAGAGAATAGAAGAAGAATGTCCGCCAGTCCACTTGACTGCCATGATGGCCTGAAAGATTCTGTGAAGGGGAAGAAAAAACTATCATCTCATGCCTTATACAAGAACTTGGTAGTAGGAAACAAATGTAATATCCAATGTTTCATTTAGGTTTTTTTTTTTTTTGAAAGGTTTTTGCTATAGGGCACGTATGCTTGCCAGAAAGACAGAGAGAGACAGAGACAGAAAGCGGGAAATCACCCCCAGGGGGGATGGCCACACTGCAATCCCTTCTCCTCCATTCTCCTCTTGGGATCTTGGTCATGTATACACACACACCTGGTGTGAGTTTAAGCCACCGGGTCCAGGACTCGAACTGTAGTTGACTACATGGGAGTCCAGCGACATAGCCATTATGCCAACTGCTGGTCCCTCAGCTAAGTATTTTAAAAGACATCTTAGAAAATCAAACAAGGGCCAGGCAGATAGCATGGTGGTTAGCTGCCTGGGTCCTACATGTCTGAGTGTGTGATTATAGAGTTCCGGACCTGGCAGCTTGAAAACACACTGGGCACGTATGCATGCGGGTCCAAATTCTAATAGGGGAATGGAAGAGAAGGGATTGTGGTATAACTGTCCCCACTAGGGAGTGAGTTTGCACTTTCCCCCTCTCTTTTTTTGTCTCTTTCTCTGGCAAGTGCACATGTCCTATAGCAAAAACTCAAAAAGAAAAAAAAATCAATCAAAACAAATTTAAAGATCCACTGTACAGTATAAAAGCGTTGAGGGACTAGCAGACTGCATATGGTTATGCCACTTGAGGCACAGAGCTTTGTGGGGCGGGAAGGAAAAAAACATCACCAGCCCCTTGGAACTGCATGTGTCCTAATGGAGTCCCGTCTTCACTCCAAGCCATGAGATCTCCACCCTTTGCTCCAGAAGCCACTAGCTGTACTCCCACGTAGTTGACCACGGTTCGAGTCCAGGACCTGGTGGCTTAAAACTCACGCCAGGTGTGTGTGCATGTGTACCCAAAATCCTGAGAGGAGAATGGAGGGGAATGGATTGTGGTGTAATCATCCCAGCACGGGGTGACTTCTTGCTCTCTTTCTCTCTCTGTCTCTCCAGTGACTTCACATGCCCTATAAAATAAAATCTCTCTCTTTTTTTAGAGAGATTTTTGCTATAGGGCACATGTGCTCACTGGAAAGACAGAGACATGACAGTGTGAAATCACCTCCCAGGTACCATGGCCATGCCACAATCCCTTCTCCTCCATTCTCTAGAGATCCTGGGGACGCATGCACCTGTGCCCAGCGTGAGTTCAAGCTGCCAGGTCTAGGACATGAACCACACTTGACCACATAGGAGTCCAGCAACATAACCATTATACCATCTACTGGTCCCAAAAAAAACTCTTAAAAAAAAAAAAAAAAGCATAGCATTGTGGCGTACCAGCTGGCACACTGTCACACACAAGTAAACTTCCCTTGCCATTGGCGACCCACGTAAGCCTGCTCCTCCAGTCTTTGGCATACATGAGACTTGCTTAAGAACAAACGCTAAATATAGTTTAAACTATAAAAATTATTTTAATTTTTTAAAACATTTGCCAACGAAAGAGAGGGAAAACAAGAAAGCAGCCTCTGGGGGAGTGGCCATATCACAATCCGTTCTCCTCCATTCTCCTCTCAGGATTCTTTTTTTTTTTTTTTTTTTTGAGTTTTTTTTTTTTCCTTAAGGTGGGGAGAGGTTTTTCCTATAGGGTGCATGCACTCGCCAGAGAAACAGAGATAGACAGAGAGATAGAAAGCGAGAAATCACCCCCCAGGGGAGATGGCCAAGCCGCAATTCCTTCTCCTCCATTCTGCTCTCGGGATCTTGGGCACGCATGCACACGTGCCTGGTATGAGTTTAAGCTACAGGGTCCAGGACTTGAACCGCAGTCAGCTACGTGGGAGTCCAGCCACATAGCCATTACGCTAACAGCTGGCCCCTCGGGATTTTGGAAATGAATGCACACATGTCGGGCACATATTTCAAGCTAACAGGTCCAGGATTTAAACTGTGCAGTCATCCCTGTGGGATCCGGCTTCTTTAACCAGTATTCTACTAGCTGGCCCAGGAAAAATTAAAGAGAGAACTACACAATCAACAAGTTATACCATTTATCTGAATAATGTTTTAGAGTAAGCTTTATAGTCGGATTCTCTGGGTTTGCATTAGTTGGTTGATTTGTGACAAGTTACTGAACATATCTGACACGCTTTCCTTCCGTAAAAAATGAGGATAATAATATCCATTCTCTAGGATCACTGAGAGGGTTCAATAATAAATGCAAAGCACATACACATTACATATATGTGTGTGTACACACACGTATACAAATGACTGGCATGCAGGGTCCTCAACAAATGTTCCTATCATTACTTTCACTCTTTATATTAGACTGGCCAAAGTGGCATTTTATATACACAACACTAAGCTTCAGTACTACCTAAGAACCTGTTAGAAAAATAGACTGTCGCACCCAACCTTAAACCTACTGATTCTGAAGCTGTGGGGTGGGGCCCAGGAATGTGTTCGAACAAGTCCTCCAGGTGATTCTGATTATGCTAGACTTTCAGAACCTGTATCACACTAACCGCCATCTGGCTAACTGGTTAAAATGCAGACACTCGTGTTTTACCACCAGAGACTTCTTCAGTAGCTTAGCTAATGTTATTTTTTTCCCCTCATACGCCATAGTTCGTTCGTTCGTTCTTTCTTTCTTTCTTTCTTTCTTTCTTTCTTTCTTTCTTTCTCTCTCTCTCTCTCTCTCTCTCTCTCTCTCTCTCTCTCTTTCTTTCTTTCTTTCTTTCTCTCTTTCTTTCTTTTTTATCTAATGTTATTATCAAGACAGCCCTTCTCATTGGCATTATTTCATTTTACGCACAATAGAACTGAGTCTCAGCAATGGTAGGTAATTTGCCCAAGGCCACTCGCCTCTTAGGGATGTTACATGGGATCCAGTATAAAGGGATCCCAAATGTTTACATCAGCAGTCCTCGACCTTTTTGACACTAAGGGCTGGTCCTGTGGAAGACAACTTTTCCACGGACCGGGGCTGGGAGGAGGAAGGTTGGTTACAGGATGATTCAAATGCATTACATTTATTGTGCACTTTATTTCTATTATTACTACATTGCAATATATAATGAAATAAGTATATAATTCACCATGATGCAGAACCAATGGGAGCTCTGAGTTGTTTTCAAAGGTGTAACCTGTTCATTGTGTAGTTTTCTCCTTAAAATAATTTTTCCTGGGTCTGCAATTTGATGGTCTCAACTGGGGCTCCTGTCAGTAATGCCAGTGATGGGGGGTGGCTGTACATACAGATAAAGCTTTAACTGCTAGCCCACAGCTCACTTCCTGCTGTGTGGTCTGGTTCCTAGCAGGCCACAGACCACTGGTTTTTCCACTGGTCTGTGGCCTGGGAGTTGGGAACCCTTGCTTTACATAATAAAGACCCTTGCCTTTTTTTTTTTTTTAAAAGAATTACTTAATTTTATTTATTATTATTATTCAATTTGACCATAGAGAGAGAGTATGGGAGAGGAGAAAGCAAGCCTCCAGGTCTAGGACTCAAACCATGGTCGGCCACGTGGGAGCCCAGCACCTTAACCACCATGTCACCTGCCGGCCCCATAGACCCTTTTGTAACAACTCTCCTTGACATCAGTTTTACTTGTTAGGATTCTTTGAAAGTACAGAAAATGACCAAAAGTTACTAATAATTCATTACTATGTTTAAATGTACTCATGTATTGGGTTGTCAGAAAAGTCATGAAGCATTTTTGCACAGGAAAAATGTCATGACTTTTTCAACAACTTAATATTTTTAGTCATTATCACCTATTTGCACTCATAAAACACTAGTGCTTATGTGCAAAATTTAGATTCCTGATCCCCTAGGAATCCATATATATAGACTAGAATTGCTACATAATACCATCCTGCCTTAATTCCCAATTGGTCAGGGCAAAAAAGGAAATCAGGGCAGTTTATACAACTCGAATGGTCAGAGTAATGGAAGGAAAACACCTGTCTCGGCAAGTTTAATTTTTTCATTTTATAAACAAAGGAAGAATTTACCAAGTGAAATAGTACCAAGGTTGGTTCACTATTTTCAGATAATATACTTGAAATTAGCCCAAAGGTGAGGAAATTTATTTCTAACTGTGTGGAAAAATAACAAGCCACTGGGTCCGGGGCTCGAACCGTGGTCAACTACATGGGAGTCCAGCGACATAGCCATTATGCCAACTGCTGATCCTTGGAAAAATAATTTAAAGTAAGTTAAAAAAGGCAATCTACCCAAAATCTCCTTTCTCAACACAAGGTTTTTCCTCCCACTTTTAGTCATATACATATACAAATCACTGATTAGACTGCAAAAAACATCACTGATCGGGATCAGAGGTTGGCATAATGGCTATGTCGCTGGACTCCCATGTAGTCAACCGCGGTTCAAGTCCCAGACCCAGTGGCTTAAACTCATGCAAGGCACGCGTGCGTGCGTGTCCAAGATCCCAAGAGGAGAATGGACGCTAAAGTATTGCAGCGTGGCTATCCCCCCCTGGCGGGGTGATTTCTCGCTTTCTGTCTTTTTGTCTCTCTGTCTTTCTGGCGAGGACACGCGCCCTATAGCAAAATCCTCTCCAAAAAAAAAATATCACTGATCTACCAGTAATCAAGGAAACAGGAATATGGTCACAAAAGCATATACTGTTGCAATTTTTCATAAAGGTAAAATATTAAAAAGATAAAAACAAGTATTTTACTTCAGCAGCATTCAATTAGTACACAGAAGAAACTAATTGCACAGAGGCTGAAGCAAATAAGATTTAAAGGAGAGGCTTGGAGAGGAAATGACTCAGAGCGAGGTAAAGACAAGAAGCCCTAGTGGTTTGATGTTTGCTGACAGGTACTGAAATATTAAAATAATTTTCTGCAATAACAAAGACTCTTGCCAAAAGCTCCAGATAAATGAAGAAAAAAAGAACACAACTTATTTTTTAACGGAAAGTATTAAAATTATTTAGGCTTAGGAATCATCATACTTATATGATAAAGACGCTGTTCTACCTTAAAATACAGAATTTGCATTAACTACTTGTGGTTCAATTGTTGTGGTTCTTTAGGGAATTGATCATTCTTTTATTTTTTTTAAGAATTATTTTATTATCATTATTTTTAAATATACTATAGGGCACCTGTGCTCACCAGAGAAAGAGAAAGACAGAGAGAGAGAGAAAACAAGCCACCAGGTCTGGGACTCGAACCACTGTCAACCATGTGGGAGTCCAGTGCCTTAATCACCACGCCATCTACTGGCCCCAAGATGTTGATCACTTCTTTCCTATTTTTAAGTTTTAATTCCACTATGAAAGTCACGGCTTTAAGACCTGCTGAGTTTTGTGTGCATATACGTTTTGGGTTCCTGCCGGGGTTTTCAATTTCTTCTAAGACAAGAATGAGGTTATGTTCTACCTAAGAAAAAGTGTGAGACGTTAAGTAATAATGGATTTTGTCCTTAAAGATTATTATAAATATAGTTCCTATAAATTTTTCCATAATGGAACCAGTAATAACTCTCATTCTATTACTCTCACAAGACCAAACAACAGCTACTTTAAACTCTGCACAGGAGCAAAAAATAAACTTCTAATCTGCAAATCACATGGATAATACTTAATGTTATCACCAATCTAGTCAGACAGATAAAAATTAAAGACCTATTACTAGAAATGTTAAAAAAAATTTAAAAAAGAGTTAAGAAAGTCCCAGAAACTCACACTTTGTTAGGCTATTCATTTTTATCAACCAACATTTATCACACAGTGTATTGATCAGTAATTTGGCTAGTCTACAAAATAATTTGTTTACATAGTCTATAAAATGATCAGGGAGGTAGTTTCTTGAGCAAGATGGTGGGAGCAGCATCCTCCAGGCTGCAGCCGTGGCTAGAACCTCTGTGAAGCCCATTTTCTTTTTCTTTTTGGAGAGTTTTTTGCTATAGGGCACATGTGCTCATCAGAAAGACAGAAAGAGAGAGACAGAGAGAAATTACCCCCCAGGGGGGATGGCCATGCCGCAATCCCTTCTCCTCCATTCTCCTCTCAGGATCTTGGGCACGCATGCACATGCGCCCTTCGTGAGTTTAAGCCACCAGGTCTGGGACTCGAACCACGGTTGTCTACATGGGAGTCCAGCAACGTAGTCATTCCACTACCTGCTGGTCCCAAGCCCATTTTCAGTTAGGACGTGAACGAGGCCAAGCGGAGGGTCCCTGAGCTCTACTGTACCTGGTCTTGGGAGGTGCTCACACTGTGCACTTAGTCCAGCTAGACATCACTGTGAAACAGGACAGATAAAGTTCAAGAGATGTTTATGAAGATTTCCGCATCACAGGACCCAGGGTGGTAGATCTTCTGGTCATGAAAGAAAGATGGAACTGGAGGAAACGACTGAAGTTTGAAAGCAGTGGACATACCTTACGCGGTTTTTTCACAAAACAGAAGCACCAAGGCCAAAGGATTTCTTGTCCATGGGTCTACATTGGCCGTGACTCACGAAGTCCTCCGTGGAAAGGTGCATGTTGATATGTAATTATTTTAGAACAAGAATAATCTCATTATATGATAGTGATTTTGATAGAGTTCCATTGGTGATCTAGTTTTCTGTGGTCTCACTGCAGTCTTTCTCACTTTTCTGTAGTCTTTCTCAATTTTGGCCTGAACAAGTGGCGTCTTGTATACACACCACCTGTTCTTTCCCTTTTTTGGTGTATGATGTTTGGTTTAAGTTAGACTAGATTCCCTTTCTGAGTCTTTTATTCAATAAACAGGAAGAGATGAGACATCTATGCAGAAACTCACTAGGCGTGAGGCTGGATGACTTAACTTAGCTGTGTTCCTGCAGCTTCTCTGATTGCGCACCTTGGGGTCAGGGCGGGTTATACAACTAGGCAGCTCATGCTGTCAGAGAGGATCAGAGCAGCACTAACAAGTAAGAAGTGGAACTGACAGCTGGCTGTTTTTGTCTGGGCTCTGAAGGAAACCCATGCTTAGAGACCTCGTCCCTCTACCTGAACAAACACCATCCTTAAAGTGAAGTGAACTTCCTACTCAGACACCCAGCTAGAAGCAAAGCTGTTCAATGTACACAGAACAGAAATAATCCCTATGGTTTTTGCAAACTCTGGCGTAGCTCAAAGTGATGGGAAAATAAATGTTGACCCAGGTTAAAAAAAAAAAAATTAAAATTAAAATGATCTATCTGTTGGGCTGGCCCTGTAACCTAATGGTTAAAGAAGCCAGATCCCACATGGCCAACTGTGGTTTGAATTATGGCTCTGGAGGATTGTAAAACACATTGAGCATGTGTGGGTGCATGCTCAAAATCCTGGCAGGACAGAGAAGAGACTGTGGTGTGGCTACACCCCATTGGGGGGATGCTTTCTCTGTCTCTCTCTCTGGAGAATGCAGGTGTCATCTAGCAGCTACAAATAAAAATAAATTAAAATTAAGAATAAAAAATAGTATTACATGAAATGCACCCAAAGATCCCCATAAAAAGTGTTGAATAATCAGAAGGATTGAAGGATAGTGAAGAAAAATGTAATTAAATTTGGGTTAAACCAAAACATCAGAAGTAAGTTGGTGAGCCAATGTTTCTTGTTTTCCTAAGACTGGGACTGGAAAGCCTAGCAGATATGAGTACCATTATCTCCCATTCATTTATCAAGCTTGTCTTTTCCTAGTAGTTACCAGAAAGGTCAATTACAGTGATTAATCATATCCTGTGAATTAGTTTAATTAGATAATAGACTCCTTCCTTCTAATAGCTAATGAGATCATGGAGTAGGTGAAGGAAAGGTGGGGTATTTGAGAGCATTTTCCACAAAGGGTGGAGTGTCACAGTTGGCAGGTCTGAATGGACAGAGGGCGGAATGAGGGAACTGAACACAGTGGGTGGGATGACGAACAAGTGACAGATTTGTATAAAGAAGAGGAGGGAGTGATGAAGGTAATCTTTTCCTACTTTGAAATTACTGAGCTGCTGGGGGATAGTCTGCCACTGAAAGTCACCTCAATGACTGGACTAAATTAATAACAGCATTATTTCATTAGATCTTTCAAAAGCTCAACCTCACCCCTAGTGGGACAGACAGGATAAAAGCCAGTCTTTAATAACTAAGTGATCAGTGATCTCTACTTTCAACGCTGCTCTAGTCATACCTCCACTTAATCTACTTGTCTTTTATTATTAATTTATTTTAGTTTTGCTATAGGGTTGTGTGCACTCACCAGAGAGAGACAGAATCAGAAATCATCTCCCAGGAAGGATGGCCATTCCACAATGCCTTCTCCTCCATCTCTTCTTGAGATTTTGGACACACATGCACACATGCATGCACGCGCCTGGCATGATTTTCAAGCACCAGATCTAGGGCTGGAACCTCAGTCAGCCATGTGGGATCTGGCGGACCTAACTGTGACACTACCTGCTGGCCCCGTCTACTTGTCAAGTGTCCATGCCTGTGAAGCTGCTCAATCTGCCTGGTTCTTAATGCTCTTCTCAGATGGGCCACTCTACTTATGCTTGACTTAAATGAAACCTGTCTTTTCAGACAAAACTCGATTCAACATCCAAAGAAATACAAAAAATTAATAAAGAGATAGTCCACTTTTCCTCATAGGTTTGGATATTTTAAAGTTGGTATTACTGTGGAGAAGCCAGATTGCAACTGAACTGAGGGCTATGGCACTGGCACTGGTAAGAACAAAAAGAATGTGCATTGCTCAGCTAGATGAAAAGGACACGGAGGAAGAAAGGACTGGCAAGTAATGAACACACCTCAGAGAGTAGAGAAGGTAGATGCTATTCTTCTGTTTCTACTAGAGAACAAGAATGGATTACACACAGCAGGAAGCTTCAGGATTCTTACTATGTAAATACTGCAAGACACTGGAGCTGACCTACTAAGCGAGTCTGTGAACCCTATTATTATAATAATTACTTACCTTCTAGAATTGTTTTGAGAATTACTTAAAACCTCTTATATAAACACTCACACTTGGCTCAAATGATGGCTATTCTTCTTCTTCTACTAAGTGTTCTTTTTTTTGGGGGGGGAGACGTTTTTGCTATAGGAAACGTGCCCTCCCCAGAAAGACAGACAGACAGAAAGCGAGAAATCACCCCCCAGGGGGGATGGCCACGCCGCAATCCCTTCTCCTCCATTCTCCTCTCGGGATCTTGGGCACGCACGCACATGTGCTGGTGTGAGTTTAAGCCACTGGGTCCAGAACTCGAACCGCGGTTGACTACATGGGAGTCCAGCGACACAGCCATTACTCCAACTGCTGGTCCCCTAAGTGTTCTTTAAAGGCTGTCACAAACAGTTCTGCCTGAGAAAACATAGTAATCAAATAATGTTGAAATTTTTTCTCTTCCAAGAAACCATCTACAACCAACTTCAACATCATTTTTCTACTAATTTTTTTTTTGTTGTTGTTTATAGGGTGCCTGCACTGGCTGAAAGGAAGCAACCTATCCCCCCACCACACACACACACACACACACACACACACACACACGCTCCCCCAGGGACGCCATATCATAATCCCTTCTTCATTTTCCTTAGGGATTTTTGACACACATGGACACATGCCTTGCATGCTTTTCAAGTCACCAAGTCCAGAACTCATAAGGGTTCAGTTGGCCATGAGGGAACCCATCCGCCTTAACTGCCACCACCTGGCTGGTCCTGAAATGATTAACTGAATAAAAACACATTGTCTTGGGACCAGCAGTTAGCGTAATGGCTATGTCGCTGCACTCCCATGTAGTCGACTGCGGTTCGCGTCCCGGACCCGGTGGTTAAAACTCACGCCGGCCCGTGTGCATACGTTCCCAAGATCCCAAGAGGAGAATGGAGGAGAAGGGATTGCGGAGTGGCCATCCCCCTGGGGGGTGATTTCTCGCTTTCTCTCTCTCTGTGTCTGGCGAGCGCATGGGCCCTATAGCAAAAACCTATCCAAAAAAAGAAAAAAACACACACACACACACACATTGTCTTAATCTGTGCACCATGGATTGGATCTGGGAAAGACTACATTTGTCCAAAAGAATGTATCACTTAATTAGCACTCAAATTAGGAGCCCATTTTAAGATTATCCAATAAAGGGACCAGCTAATGGCTGCGTTTACGTCGCTGGACTCCCATGCACTCGACCACCGGGCTGGTGGCTTAAAACTCACGCCGGGAGCATATGCATGCGTGCGTGCCTAAAACCCTCAGAGGAGAATGATGGAGAGGGGATGGTCTCGTGGTCATTACCTCTGACGGTTAATTTCTCGCTCTCTGTCTCTGTATCTCTTGCGAGAACACGCTCCCTATAGCAAAAAATCTCTAAAAAAAATTATCCGATCGATAGGGGGTTGGAGGTGAGGGGACGAGTTCAGATATAGCAACCTTACTTCCCGAGTGCACGGTGGTACAAATAAATACCGAAACTATAGGGTCCGAACGAGAAGAGACAACCTCGGGTGCCCAAGGTTTAAAAAAAAAGGAGGGCGGTCCGACTCAAGCCAAAGGTGGAGACGCTGGAACAGGCTAGTAAGGAGACGGGAGTCTGAAGCAGGGACCTCACCGACACAGGGAAACTTCACAGAAGGGGGCCAGGGGAACGCACACGGAGCCACCAGAGCAGAAAGAGGAGAAGGCACCGAAAGGCAGCCCGGTCCCGGGTGCCAGCCTCGTACCTGCGCTTCCAGCTCCCTCCTCGGCGCCTAGCGATGACCTCACCCGCGAGCGCCCAATCCCGTCACGCGCAGGGCGAAAAGCGCCTCCGCCGAACAGTCACATCCGGGGCCGAGAGGAACCCGAGCGAGCTGGGCGTGCGCCCTTGCTTCTTGCCCTCAACCCGCATGGCGGAGCCGCGGGCGCGCGGCGGGCAGGCCTGGCGGGCCGGGCGGTTCCGGCGCCCGCGCTGAGCCG